CAAGATGCCCCGCTTCCGATACGCCCACCTGGAGATCATCCACATCCTGCCCCCATCTTCTCTTTGGTCTTCCTCTTCCTCTCTTCCCATGCATATACCCCTCCATGATTGTTCTCTGCAAACTTTCGTGACGTTTCAAGTGACCAGAAAATGTCTGTGTTTTATCGTCTTTAATAGCCAACCGTCTTCAATATCCAGTTCTTTAAGTATGGATGCATTTGTTCTTTTCTTTACGCATGACATTCTTAGAACCCGTCTACAACATTTGTATTCAGAGGCATTTATGCGCTGTTCAGCTTTTTTTGTAAGTGTCCAAGTCTCACAGGCATTTGTTGCAATGGGAAAGATGCAGGCTCTTAGAAATCTAATTTTTGTAGTTATGTCTATTCCACCAGATGATTTATCCAGTTATTTTAGTCTTTGAAGAGCAGTTGATAGTCATCGTTTAACTTCTTTCATTTGTGTCACCATTGTTGGTAATCAATGACCCAAGATATTCAAGAAAGATGCTTGGTATAGTGCGTTCCAAAACTCATGACGTCACACTTCAACAGATATCTCGACAATTCCTATACTGATCAACCCGAATTTGTCGCACGTGGTCTTAGATATCACATGTCCTTATGATTTTATAATTCACAAATGCACAAATGCAGCAAATCCTGAATTAGGGGCCATTTATCACTTGAATTTTACGGGTAGTTGGTGTAAAGGGAAGACAGAAAACGAAATCATGAAATCAGACGAATGCTAGGAATAAAGCCAGTCTTACAGGTCATCAAAGAACAACACAAATGAAGTGGTTTGGATACCTAACAAGAATGCCCTGGTACTATCTGCCTCAGCCAGTCACACTAAAACGTTACAAAGGGTATAGAGCTAGTGGAAGACCTCGGAAAATATGGAGTGATGACATTAGGAACAGCCTTACAGAAATGAACATCAGTCCTAATAGTGCTCTTGACAGAGCTGATCGACGAACATTAGGAAGGTGGAAGAGAAGAAGAAAAAGAGAAGAAGTTGGTATATTCTTTTCTTTCCAAATAAATGTAACCGACTCTGAAAGTTTTTACTTTCTCAAACATCGTTAATTCTTTCATTAAAACTTCGATAACCGCCCGACACAGATGAAAGCTTTGAATGTTTAATACCACAATCAGTTTGCCCGGGTTTGCGTCTGCATCTCCAGTCAGATAAATAGGTTTAACAAAAAATAGAACCAGAAAAAAGGTGGATTCGACCTGACAGTCTGGTCATGGTAACTGTCACCATTGACGTTTGGTTCGATGAATACCCGTGTGTCCTTACAATGTCTGCCCTCCATGGAGCCTGGTGCTGATGGATCAGTCGGATTCAATTGCTGCCGTTTGACGCAGTGTGCAATTGTATGGTTGCTGTGTGTTCTGTGTGAAAGAAGGTGAATTATGTATGAAGGGTTTATCGACCCGTCAGCTGGTCCGGGAAATATTTGCTTCCTGTGTGTATTTTGTTTAAACAGTGTTAATATTGAATGGACGTGGTCGTCGTGGCGTAGCGGCTAGAGGCTCGCCTGCGAGCCCAAAGGTCGTGGGTTAAAATCCTACTACTTTTTTCACTAAAAATGACCTTTACTCTAAGGAGTTGAGTTGAGTCAAGAATTGACATTGCAGCACTCAGGGCATTCCTATACGCGCTTCGTCCCCATCTTCAGCAGCCAGGGCAGAGTTCCAACACCAATGGCACCTGTCGTAGTCTGTTTATATGTCCGTCTTGCCTTTCCTCTAAGTGTAATGAGCCGACCAGACCCTCTGGTCACAACCAGGTGTATCATTCTCTCTAGGCCATAATGATCTTGTTTCTCTTCTGACTTCGTTACTTGTTCCTAAAAGACGGTAACCACATCTGCATTAGCATGTATCATTCACCAGCCAGAGCTGCAAATTCAGCATATCTGTCTGCCTGCTCATTCCACACCAAGCTGGCATAGCCTGGAAAAAACATCAAAAATTAGCTGACTATCCGTGACCTTCCTAGTGAAGCTTGCCACTCTGCTCGAAGCATCCCTGTCTTCACCTTTCTCAGCATGCTTTCAGAGTCTGTTACAATTACAACATATGTACACATCTTTTTCTGTAGCCACTGACAAGCTGATATGGCCGCCTCTACCTCCATTCTTATGCTAGATGTGGTGGTATCAGAAGATCTATAAGGTTGACCCAGCAGAACATGCGTGCCAGGTACAGTCCTGAGAAGCAAAGATGGCTGGCGTTAGGTTGACCATCGCCCATCAAGTGCTGGTTAGTCAGTAAAATATAGTTCTGGCATTATATACCGGTACGTCTAAGAGTGGACAATGGTCATGTAGCTAGCCTTCTAAGGTCAAGTGTAGCCCGAGAGACACAATAGGAGACAAAGTTTGACAGTTTGGTCTCGTGGACTTAAGTAGACATCAGTCAGTCAGTAGCATGTCCTTTGCAGAACCTTGCACCCATAACAACCCTCAGGAAAACTTCTCGATCACAAGCAAGATGTCCCACGTCTGATAAACCTATCTGGAGATCATCCGCCACATCCTGCACCCATTTTCTCTTTTGGCCTTCCTCGTCCTTTCTTACCAGGCATATACCCCTCCATTATTGTTCTCTCCAAACTTTCGTGACTTTTCAAGTGACTATAATATTTCAGTTTTCTGTGTTTTATCGTCCTTGATAGCCAGCCTTCTTCAATATTTAATTTTTAAAGTGTGGATGCATTTGTCCTTTTCTTTACCCATGATATTCTAAGAACCAGTCTATAAGATTTTTGTTCAAAAGCATTTTTGCGCTGTTCAGCTTGTTTAGTAAGTGTCCTGGTCTCACAGGTGTTATGTTGCAATGGGAACGATGCATGCTCTTAGAAAAAGACCTGCTTAATTTTTTAAAAAAAAAACATGTTTGCCAATGGTTGTGACATAATGCTGCGGACAAATATGTCGAGTAACGCCATACAGTATATTTTCTTTTCTGCCCTGTATTCCCTAATGGAGCCTAGGCTTTCAACCAATCCAAACCAAGTGGCCTTTTTCTGTGCTGTCATATGCAGCTCCCCAATGTCTTCCCTATCTTTTTAAATTCATTCCCCAGCTCACCTTTCCATATGTCTGTCTGGATTGTTTGTTGTTGTTGTTTTTTCCTTCTTGTGTTTCTATGAGTCTATGGGTTTCAATGGAAGGGCATGTTCTAAACATATTGTTCTCAAGTTTTCTCAGCGTGTATCCTATCCAACGCCAGCATCTTTTCCTAACCTGTTGATTCACTGGAATGTGTTTAGTTCTCTCCAGGAATTTAACATTAGTTGAATAGCGACATGGAATTTCACCTGCACAAACATTCGGCTTGAGTCTGTTGATAAAATCAATATTTCTTATACTAGAATGTTGAGGGAGCCGACGTGCTCTATAGCAGCTTGACGCTGAACTGTGGATCGGAAAGTCGTGGGTTCGTTTCCTGACGAGGGTCAGTTTTTTTTAATGACCTTGGCTCTCAGGTGGACCCAGCCTTAAGTGGGTCCTAGGTACATTCCTAGGAAATAAAGGTCTATATTCACCCAATAGGCCTGAAAGGTGTGGAAAATGGTCCAATATTATTTACTAAACTAGTATGCTGAAGTCACTTGCATCAACAGATATAGGAAAACAGAAGATGATAATATATTGGGCTTATGAGGAGAAGCGAGCAGAGAAGTAAACAGTCACTGAAATGTAAAGCAGGTGGACTGAAGACACGAAGACGTCCTAAAAATTCCAGAGAAATGTTGAGAGAGGCCAAAGGATGAAGCGGTACTCACTACCAGACTGTCAGCTCTGTGTGATGTATGACCAAACAACCGGAAGCTGATGATGAATGTTACTACTTTAACACAAAGTAGTAAAATAAATTTAAAAAATTCAGCAGAACACTCAGTTTTGCTCCAAAAGAAGAACACTCAGTTTTGTTTCAACAGAAGAACACTCAGTTTTGTTTCAACAGAAGAAAACTCAGTTTTGTTTCAACAGAAGAACACTCAGTTTTGTTTCAGCAGTAGAACACTCAGTTTTGCTCCAACAGAACACTCAGTTTTGCTCCACCAGAAGAACACTCAGTTTTCCTCCAACAGAAGAATACTCAGTTTTCCTCCCACAGAAGAACACTCTGTTTTCCTCCAACAGAAGAACACTCTGTTTTCCTCCAACAGAAGAACACTCAGTTTTCCTCCAACAGAAGAACACTCAGTGTTCCTCCAACAGAAGAACACTCAGTTTTCCTCCAACAGAAGAACACTCAGTTTTCCTGCAACAGCTAGGGTCAGAACACTCATCAGGCAGCAGTATTGAATTCTTATGTTTTAAATTGTACACGTCTTCACTACCATTATTATACCATTTTTTAGCTGAGGATTTAGGACGGTGGCAGATGCGATGACAACGATGATGACACCGGAAAAGAAGAAAAAGAAGAAGAAGAAGAAGAAAAAGAAAAAGAAGAAGAAGAAGAAGAAGAAGAAGAAGAAGAAGAAGAAGAAGAAGAAGAAGAAGAAGAAGAAGAAGAAGAAGAAGAAGAAGAACAACAAGAACAAGAACAAGAACAAGAACAAGAAGAACAAGAAGTAGAACAAGAAAAAAGAAGAAGGAAGTTCATTGCCACATACTGCAATATTCCTTTTGGTTTACTTCCTCTGTACAACTAGAGTCTTTTTAGCCCATTTATTTTGCAAAGAAAGGCAAAGAAAAATAATGGTACCAGTCCTGCATGATACTAAGCATGGTAAATGTGATGCCTTGATAACTTTTCGACAGCCTTATTTACCTTGCAACTTCCTTTTCGTACAACCTCCAGTTAAACAAACATGTGAACTGGATACATTATCGATCTAACCTTGTCTTTCTTTCTCTGGCAGATTTACAGATTTCCATTAGCGTTCTGTTGTTTCACGGATGAAACACGGCCGCAACAGGCGTGCCTGACCCACTGTGACATCGCTTGCAGGCGGCGTGTCGCACCCAAATGTGCGTGTCGGCGAGTATATGGACTATGGGATGTGGGAAAAGCCGACATCACTCGCCCGACGTCTCGGAAATTGATTTAAGAAACAGTGGCAGCTTAAAGAACAGCAGCGGTGGAGTCGGCGGTCACAAGGTCGCTGGCAAACGCTCCAAGACCAAATCTGGTCGACATGATAGCAACGGTCTTGACAACGATACTGGAGGTATGTATTGATCCGAATTATCTTCTTCTGTTTTCTTCTGTTGGAATGCCTCGCAGTGTCATGGCAGGAAGTGATCTCTAGAACGGGCTCTTCTGTTCGCTTCAACTTATATCCTTTTTTTTTCCATCTAAGTACATGACAACGAGACTCAACTACAGGTTAGTTGCTTATCTTTTACAGGACGTTGCAGAACCAACCCCAGCAGCCGCTGCCTGTTGTGTCGTTTTTCTAGGCAAATTTACGTCCAGTAGTTTGCCATTGCTTCCTGGACGGTCGGCTTTCTTGATACCACTGTCGAAACCAACGCAAGGCGTACAGCCCGCAGCTGGGATCGAACTCGGCATCCCGGCATTACGAAGCGTCCGCATCGACTTAGCCACAGAGCCGACAGACTCAGCTACAACATGCAGAAAATAAAGACAACAGTCCCCACAGTTTGCATGTTAGGCTTGACTAGGTTTTTGAGGTTTTGAACACCGGACCAACATCAAGGTACACTGGTAGTAATCCATAAGTGCTCCGTTCTTCTTCTAACTCAAGTCTGAGTCCGAAGAAGCTCAGCACAGTGTACAGGCTCTGTAGCACAGGTGAGGAACCTGAAATACTTTGGGAAGATATTTAACTCCAAATTTTGCCTGGGCAGTCTGTAGGCTACACTTTTCGATTTCCAACTGCCAGGTGATTTTTTTTATATGGGCAACAATGCACACGGGCGTCCAATCTCACAAGCGAGAGACCAAGCGGATTTACTAGAAGTCCAAGTCCACGTAAAAATAATCCCAGCTCTTACCCGGAATTGAACCCGTAACCTCTAGCACTCGGGGCAGACTCTATGACTCGAGACCACGCAGCCACCAGACAGGACCACAAACACCTGAGCACATTCTGCAGTTCTGCCTATTATACTTACACCTTCGAAGAGAAGCCGGGCCTCGAGAGCAAAGCCATGAGAAGCCATGAAGGACTTGCAACTGACGTGCGAATTTGTGGACGCAGCACATCTAACAGTATGAGCTGAGCAGACGAAACCGAACGCCAAGGAGAAGAAATCCCTTGCTGTATATATGTGCATTTTAAAACTGTAAATGACGGTGATCTGACATGGAGGAAAGAAGCATTCAGCTCAGAGAAGGCGCAGATACCAGAACCTTGAGCCACGAAAGTGGCGCAAACAAACAAACGACCACAAATATAGCCGGAGACTGTTGGCAGCTTCGGCTAGCTAGCAGCAGGTTGACCGTGGTTGAGTTTATATATATATTTTTTTTTTTTTAAAGGAATTGGGATTGGAATTGCCACCTGACAGGGGAGCCGTGGTGGCCTATCGACTAGAAGCTCGCGAAGATCTTGGGTTCGAATCCAAATCCTAATTTGTTTTTCAAAAGATGACCTTGGCTCCGAGATATCTGCAATCTACAGTGGGTACCAGGAAAAGTACTCGGAAGTAAACGAAGAACCTGATTGAGACCTGATAAGATTCTACGCTAAATAAAACCCTAGGCCTCTACCTTTTTAAATTAATGCAGTTAACTTCAGAACCTTTAAACTGTATAACATATGACGGACTGATTATTTTATTCTGTTTAAATAGGCTACAACAAGGTATTATAAATAAAATCCTGTGACAGTAGAAAAATAATTTTATTGAAATTCGAAAATTTCTAGAGAATTGTTCAAAAACGAATTAAAGAACATTTACATTGCGGGCAAGAAAATACTTTTTCCGGTCTTTTGTAGATTGGAAGGTCATAAGCTGCGACTTAGTTTTGTTAAGTCTAAATCCAGTGCTGGAAGTAAAGGCGGCCGGCATTATTTTGACAGCGTTAACCATCATTTGCTAGACGCGCCGTTGGCCTGAAGAGCGTCTGTATTTGTTACTTTTGATCAGTTTCCAAAAATAAGGAGTTAGCGCTGGAACGGTCTAAGTGGGCGTTAGCAGCTTCACTCATTTTTTTATTTGGGGGGGGGGAGTGGGGGAGGGGGGCTAGGACTGTTCCGGGTGAAAAAGGGCACGGTAGTACCACAAGAGGCAGTTGGGGCACTCCATTTTTGAAAAAAAGGAGCGAAAGAGATAGAGATGAAAGAGGGAGGCGGAATTTTAATAAACCAATCCTATCTGGGGTAGTTTGTTTGTTGTTTTTTTTTTGTTTTTCAACGAAGACAAATTATGTCATGACAAATTAGCTTTATCTTTCTCATAAAAAATAACAGCTGTTATTTTCATGTTTTGTTGTATTATCCCCGTACTTACTTTCAACACTGAGAGGAAGGAGGGTCAGGGTGGAAGGTTCTGCTGATCGTGTAGGGTGGATCATCCTGCGCGCCCATGCTTATCGTCATGGCACATGATGATGATTGTGGTAGATACAGGGAGAGGGCGCTTGGCGGTTCGATTGTTTTCATTGAAAATGGAGCCGTTGGCCAAAAGAAGTTTGAGAACCCCTGCTTGACAAGAGTCTTATCTCGGATAGCCAGCGGGGTAAATTATAGATACCCTGTTCAACATCCCTGAACATATGAAATTTAATTTAAAATAAAACTAAAGAACGCTTTTCCACGACTTGAAGCGTATTGGGCATATAGGGCTCGACCTTTATTTTGTAGGCTAATCGGCACTTGAAGGGTGATGTGGTCAACATTATGCCGATCGCCTTTACTTCTCATGTCTTTATCTGGTACCCATTTAAGCCAGTCTCTCTAGCGTAGTTGGCTAAACCGGATTGCGCGGTGACTCCTTGTGGTCCAGGTTCACTTCCGGGGGTAGGCAGAAAAGCCATATTTCTCCCAGATTTACGGTATTTACAATGGAATCAAGGCCGAAAGGTTGCGATATCCATAATACCGAACCTAAGGGTTAACAACTCATGGCTTCTGGATACTAAAACAAACAAACATACAAACAAACATACCCTTTTAAGGCTGAGTCGACCTGGGAGCCACTGACATTTTTAAAGGTGGACAAAAGTCAGATTTTTTCAGGACGTGAGTCGACGACCTTCGGACCCGCCAGCGAGTCTCTAGCCGCCCCGCCACCGATGCTCCCAGAAAGTTGTAAATACTGCTCCCGTAAATAGTTACCCACACTACTAATATTCTGTTCCGTCTGTCTGCTGTTTTCTCCTCTCCGAGCTGCCACTTGGAGGTTAAACCATTCCTACGACCTCAAAGGTGGTACCTCGGATAGAAAATCTCATATTCACTGTTTATTCTCCTAAGAAAGTATCAATAGGACGGCCGTGACGATTACACTGTTTTTCCTTGGTGATTTCTCATGATGAAGGCGGGTTAGGAGAAAGTATTGATTGACTCGTCTTTTCTGCATGTCTTGACCTTTCACGTGATCAAAATGGGCCGACCGACAGAACGTTGGGTTCCTCGGTAAGATTGTGCATGTTTTTTTTTTTTTTTTCTGGGGGCAGAAATATAATCCTAACCTGAACAGTCCGTGGCGACAGCACTAGCCATGCGTTACTAAATCCTCAGGGGCCTAGGCCCCTCCCCCTTTCCCCACGCCTGCCTACACCGCTAAAGTAGTTTGTTTGTTTGTTTTAGTATCCAGAAGCCATGAGTTGTTAACCCTTAAGCTCGGTATAATGGATATCGCAACCTTTCGGCCTTGATTCCATTGTAAATACCGTAAATTTGGGAGAAATGTGGCTTTTCTGCCTACCCCCGGGAGTGAACCCGGACCACAAGGAGTTCGTCACACAGTCACTGCGCAATCCGGTTTAGCCAACTACGCTAGAGAGCCGGGCCCACTAAAGTAGTAAATACATTCACTAATGGCAATTGGCAGTCATTGGGGAATTCTCGGAAATTTTATATTATTTTTACACGCATCATCATCATCATCATCATCATCATCATCATCATCATTGTCATCATCAAGTAAAACCGTAACCTCTCAGTCGACTAAAGTATAAAACAGTAACGAGGCATGATCATTTCTCATTTGTAAGCCTTAGCAGGTAACGATTACCCTGGAGTGGTTATCACGTGATATTTTTATCCTTCTCGCTTCTCGCTTTAGATTATGCGCATGCAGCTTGTAGTGCTGGTAACTGGTAGCTTTCAGCTTCTGCGTGAGTGGCGTAAACCTTCAGAGAGCGTTCTTTTGTTTTATTTTCGAGATGAAAACCGAGTGACGTATTTGTGATAAATTGTAAACAGTAATAATAAAAAGTAAAAATTTTGAGGTAATAGAAAGTATAGATTTGCTTTAGCAGTGCAGAGTCTAAAGAAGACTCTCCCAGCACGAAGAAACTGTAGAATATCACCGGCAAACCGTTCCACGCACGCCTAGCCATTGGTTAAAACTATACTGTTTAGTCTTTGATGAAATCAAGTGTAATCGAGTTGTATATCAGTCTATCTATCCTCTCTCTGCCTGCCTGTCTCTGTCTCTCTCTCTGTCTGTCTCTCTCTGTCTGCCTGACTCTGTCTCTCTCTGTCTGAATCTCTCTCTCTCTGTCTGTCGCTCTCTGTCTGTCTCTCTCTCTCTGTCTCTCTCTCTGTCTCTCTCTGTCTGTCTCTCTCTGTCTGCCTGTCTCTGTGTCTCTCTGTCTGTCTCTCTCTGTCTCTCTCTGTCTCTCTGTGTGTTACTTGGTCGAGGTTCTGACTACACGACTAGCAGGCCTCTTTCTGTGTTTCTCTGTCTCTCTCTTCTCTGTCTGTCTCTCTGTCTGTTTATCTATGGCTCTCCTGTCTTTATCTGTCTCTCTCTCTCTGTGACTCTATGTGTGTCTCTCTCTTCTCCGTCTCTCTACGTCTCTCTCTCCCTCTCTCTCTCTCTCTCTCTCTCTCTCTCTCTCTCTCTCTCTCTCTCTCTCTCTCTCTCTCTCTCAGTTAGTTACTTAGTCGAGGTTCTAACTTCCCAACAAGCAAGTCTCTCCATAACTGCCCTGCTGCCGTACCATAAAATGTCCTTCACTGTCCAGTTTAAAATCTATTGAAAAATAAACCAATCCCAGTAAAATCTACAAGCTCGCACGCACAAAGTA